ATAGGGTGGTGGCATCATGATCGGTCCTATTGGGGGTAGTGGGACCCCATAGGGTGATGGAGGGACCTATGGGGTGGTGGGAGAACTTATGGGGTGGTGGTGTCATGGTGGGTCCTATGGGGTGGTGGGGGGATGTATGGGGTGGTGGGAGCACCCATAGGGTGGTGGCATCATGGTGGGACCCATGGGGTGGTGGGGGCACCTATGGGGTAATGGTGGCTCCTATAGGGTAATGAGGGGACTTATGGGGTGGTGGGGGGCACCTATGGGGTGGTGGGAGAACTTATGGGGTGGTAGTGGCACCCATAGGGTGACTGTGTCATGGGGGGTCCTATGGGGTGCTGGCTCTGTGTTATGGGGTCGTGGCTCTGTGTCCCACAGGGTTCCCATTGGGGTTCCCATTGCCGTTACTTTTAGGGTTTCCATTGTGGTTCCTCTTGGGATCCTTTTGGGGTTTCCACTGCAATTCCTATTAGAGTTCCTCTTGGGGTTCCTATTTCAGTTCCTATTGGGATCCTTTTGGGGTTTCCCATTGCAGTTCCTATTGGGGTTACTCTTGGGATCTTTTTGGGGTTCCTATTGTGAGTTCCCATTGCATTTCCTTTTGGGATTCCCATTGCAGTTCCTATTGGGGTTCCTATTGGGATCTCTTGGGGTTCCCATTGGGTTTGTATGGCAGTTCCTTCTGGGATTCCCATTGGGATTCCCATTGCTGTTCCCATTGTGGTTCCCATTGGGGTCCTTTTGGGGTTCCTATTCAAATTCCCATTGGGGTTCCCATTGGGGTTCCCACTGGGATCCTATTGGGGTTCATGTTGGGGTTCCCATTGGGATCCCACTGCAGTTCCCATTGTGGTTCCTGTTGGGATCCTTTTGAGGTTCCTATTGGGATTCCCATTGGTTTCCCATTGGGATCTTATTGGGGTTCCCTTTGAGATTCCCATTGCAGTTCCCATTCCTGTTGGGATCCTTTTAGGGTTTTCTACTTGAATTCCCATTGGGGTTCCCATTGGGATCCCATTGAGATCCCTTGTGGGTTCCAGTTCCATTTCCCATTAGGGTTCCCGTTGGGATCTTATTGGGGTCCCCATTGGGATTCCCATTGCAGTTCCATTCCCATTGGGATCCTTTTAGGGTTTTCTTTTTGAGTTCCCATTGGGGTCCCATTGGGATCCCACTGCAGTTCCCATTGTGGTTCCTGTTGGGATCCTTTTGGGGTTCCTATTGGAATTCCCATTGTTTTCCCATTGGGATCCCATTGCAGTTCCCATTGGGATCCCGTTGGGATCCCTTGTGGGTTCCAGTTCCATTTCCCATTAGGGTTGGGATCTTATTGGGGTTCCCATTGGGATTCCCATTGCGGTTCCCATTCCTGTTGGGATCCCATTGGGATTTTCTATATGAATTGCCATTGGGATCTTATTGTGGTTCCCATTGGGATCCCGTTGGGGTTCCTAATGGAATTCCCATTGGGATCCCATTGGGGTTTTCTATATGAATTGCCATTGGGATCCTATTGGTGTTCCCGTAGGAATTCCCACTGCAGTTCCCACTGTGGTTCCTGTTGGGATCCTTTTGGGGTTCGTATTGCAGTTCCTATTGGGATCCCATTGGGATCCCTTCGGGGTTCCAGTTCCATTTCCCATTAGGGTTCTCGTTGGGATCTTATTGGGGTTCCTATTGGGATTCCCACTGCAGTTCCCACTGTGGTTCCCACTGTGGTTCCCATTGGGATCCCATTGGGATCCCGTGCGGGTTCCAGTTCCATTTCCCATTAGGGTTGGAATCTTATTGGGGTTCCCATTGGGATTCCCATTGCGGTTCCTATTCCTGTTGGGATCCTTTTGGGGATCCCATTGGGGTTCCTATTGGGATCCCATTGTGGTTCCTATTGGGATCCTTTTGGGGTTCCTATTGGAATTCCCATTGGTTTCCTATTGGTTTCCTATTGCAGTTCCCATTGGGATCCCTTCGGGGTTCCAGTTTCATTTCCCATTAGGATTCCCGTTGGGATCTTATTGGGGTTCCTATTGGGATTCCCACTGCAGTTCCCACTGTGGTTCCCGTTGGGATCCCATTGCAGTTCCCATTAGGGATCCCATTGGGATCCCGTGCGGGTTCCAGTTCCATTTCCCATTAGGGTTCCCGTTGGGATCTTATTGGGATTCCCATTGCAGTTCCCATTCCCGTTGGGATCCTTTTGGGGTTTTCTGTTTGAATTCCCATTGGGATCTTATTGGGGTTCCCCTTGGGTTCCCATTCGTGTTCCTATTGGGGGTCCCATGGGATTTCCCATTGCTTTGGGAACCCTTTTGGGGTCCCTACTGGGGTCCCTGTCCCGTGCTGTGGGGTCGTTATATGGGATGGGGGCCCTATATGGCGGCTTTGGTTGGAGGGACCCCCGGAGACCCCTTGGGGGGACGGGGGGGAGTCCTGGGGGGGTCAGGGGACACCGATGCCAATTTGGGGACAACTGGGGGACCTCAGTGACATTTGGGGCCTAAGGGGGGGGGGGGGGGGGGGGGGGGGGGGGGGGGGGGGGGTGACAGCGATGCCACCAATGTCCCCACTGAACCCCCACCCCACAAAGAGGGGTGATGGCCCTACAGTGTCCCCAAATCCCACAATGTCCCCCCGTCCCACAATGACCCCACATCCCACAATGTCCCCATGATGTCCCCGTATCCCCCAGTGTCCCCATATCCCCCAATGTCCCCCCACCCCCCCAAATGTCCCCCAGTAGCCCCCCAATGTCCCCATAACCCCTAACGTCCCCAATGTCCCCTTTGCCCCCATTACCCCCAATGCCCCCAATATTCCCAATGTCCCTATTGCCC